CAGACATGTGAGCAAATTAGCCTCCTGATGATTCCAGCCTCTAACCCTCAAGTGTTCCAGCCAAGGCCCCAGCCACTGTGGAGCAGAGATTAGCCATCCTGATCCTGTCTCTGTCAAGCAGAGATAAGAATCCATGACCATATTTAACGGTTGTTTAACGCCCCTGAGTTCTGATGCAATTTGTTACTCAGCCCTACTGACTGATGCGCTCAGAGGGTGGAAGGAATTCCATTCAGTTTGGCTGAGGGTGCTTAAATGTGGGGCACTTTCAAGAGGAACTTGGCATGAAGCTGCTTACTAGCTCCTGGGGAGGCGAGGCCGTTATCATCTCAGCGCAGACACCCAGGTGTGTATGTAGACAAAATCCTGAGTCTATTTCAGGGACAAGGAACTTACCTTTTCATTAGCCTCTAGGATAAATCTGAGCCAGAAGTTCATGGTGAGAACTCACTGGATCTTCACCAAATATATCCTGAGAATCCCAGCCCTGTGGCCCCATTCAGACACCACAAAAGTTCTAGGGAGCAAATAAGTGATGCTCGGCACTAGGACACTAGTTAGATAGCTGGTAGCATTTCTGTCTATGCAGCCATTATAGATTGCGCCTTTGAGAAATAGGTAAAGATATGGGAAGATTCCCATGGTGAAGAATGGTGACCAGAGGCAGGGGACTAAGCCTCATCCCAACAGACACTGGGGTACACCTGGGTCAGTGTCGTGGGTAGTGGGATTTTGGCTGATAGTGTTTTCTTCCTTAACTTCTCTGTATTTTTAGGTTTTTTTTTAAGGTAAAATGGAGGGGCACCCAGGTGGCTCAGTCGGTTAAGAGTCCGACTTCGGCTCAGGTCATGATCTTGCGGTTCGTGGGTTTGAGCCCCGCATTGGGTTCTCTGCTGGTGGCTCAGAGCCTGGAGCCTGCTTCAGATTCTGTCTCCCTCTCTCTCTGCCCCTCCCCCACTCATGCTCTGTCTCTCTCTGTCTCAAAAATAAATAAACTATAAAAAAGATTTAAAGGTAAAATGGAATACTCTTAGAATTAGGAAACCGTAGTATCATTTGTTTTAAAAAGGACCTGGCTCTTTGCAATTTAATTTGTGGATTTTGGCGACCCCTCGGGGGTTAGTGTGTCTGAGAAAATGTATCGGGGGACAAAGGTCAGGAAATAGGTCCTTCCAAGGTCCTTTGCCTGAAGTTGTAAGCACAAGGAAAAAAAAAAAGCACTTGTAACCCTCTTTCATCACAGGCTGCAAGTTTAAAAATATCTGTATCAGGTGGGCCTGCCCCATCTCCGCCTTTGGATTGTGAGGTCCCTGAGAGCCTCTCCTGCCCTCCGTCCCTCACCCCACCCCTCACATCTAGGGCTGGGCAGCCGGGGCGCTATATTAGGAACCAGTACAGGGAGTTGAAGTCACGTGGGGGCTCTGAGCTCCCTGCAGGGAGGCCTCCCTTCCCCGCCCCCCAGGCCTCTCATCTGTGCCAGCCCCACACTAAGGACCCAGACCTTCCCGTGCAGCCCAGCACCCAGGGCACCTGAAAGTGGTCAGGACTGGGCTCTTGCAGCCTGCAGAGCCTGCATGGAACTGGGAAGGCCCCAGTAAGGTTGGGGGGACGTGCTGAGAAGGCAGAAGCCGTGGGGCAGCTGTGACCACTTCCACCCGGTGGCCTGGAGACCAGAGGGTGGAGATGAATGGGCAGCTGGGGCAGGAGCCCTCCCTGGGGAGCACTGCCCCGTGTTGGATCAGCGGGGCGACAGGTTTCTCACAAACCAAACCCTCAGCACGCCACCTCCAACGGCTGTTTTAGAACAGTCCATCTGGAAACTCCTTATGTGTTGTTAGTCAGCAAACACTCCTGAAAGCTCACTCTTCATGCTCGTTGCTGAGCTCGGATATTTACGGACGTTTCCTTAAGGTCAAGTTTTATTCATTCTCCCAACAGCCCTTGGGCGAGCGGAAGTGCCACCTCCTCATCTGACTGAGGAGGGAACGGGAGCTCCGGGAGGTTGGGGGACTTGCCCGGTGCTCCTGGTCCGTGAATTGGTATTTCTGGCTCAGGGCCACGTCCCTGCAGCCGCCAGCAGGGGTGCGGGCAGAGGGCGCCGCAGGTGTGGAGTCCCAGCCTCGAGCCGGGCCAGGTTTCTAGGCTTGATCTCCGGTTACCTGTTTGGTTGAATTCAGTTAGCCTCTTGCCCCCAAACCCAGGCACCCCCGCCCCCACCCTGGCCAGGTGGCCGTTTTCCCATTTCTTCCTTCAGCAACCAATTTCTGTTTCCAAAACTTCTGGCTCAAAAGCAAAGAGGAAAAAGGCAAAAATCAGAAGGAGTTGCAGGGACAGGCAATCCTGGAAATAAACAAGTGAGTTTTCCTAGCACGTTACAGCCTAGATGCAAGTATCAGGAGGCCGTGTGGGATCCTGCACCAGTGACCTTGACCTTTAGTGCCTTAGTCTCCCTCACTGTAAAGTCAGGCCAACGCATAGGTTTTCAGCCTCGGCATTAGTGATGTTTGGGGCCAGGTCGTTCTTGGCGGGTGGGGTGAAGGAGCTGTGTGTGTCATAGTGTGTTTAGCAACGTCCCTGGCCTCCCCCCTGCTAGATGCCGGGAGCAGCCCCCTTCCACGCTGTGACAACCAACAATGTCTCTCGACCTTGGCAAGGGTCCCCGGGAGAATGAAATCACCCCTGCTTGAGAACCACTGGGCTAGTACCATCTCCCTTTCACAAGTGCTCTGAACATCCTCAAAAAGTATTCTTCCGATTCTACCCTAATCCCTCCCTCCTTCTTTTGGCTTATCCCTCCCCTGGGATGAGTACATCAAATGGGATGATTCCTACGGCACCTACCACTCCCGCTGGCCACGATGTCCAGTGATTCTGCTTCTTGTTCAGCTCAGGGCACAAGTTCAAGCCTATTCCTCCAAATCTACAGAGAAGGGAGCGTAGACCGATTTTACGGATGGGGCATCTGGAGCAGAGAGGAGGCCAGACATCCCGCCAGAGCTGGAGAGGGCTCAGGCCGCACCGGGAGATGCAGTCCCAGACCGAGCCTTGGCACTCCCGAGAGCATTGGTGGGTGATGGGGGAGGGAAGAAAGGGGGAAACTGAGGGACATAGCCCAGGGAACTGAGACTGGCCAGCTCTTCCCTAAACTGTTTTCCTTTCCTCCTGGGCTAGACTACGTTTCCCATCTTCCCTTGCTCTTAGAGATGTGACTGTGTTATTGGATTCTGGCCAATGGCATATGAGCAGAAGGGAAAGTCACAACTTCCTGATCCATTAAAACTCCCCACAAGACTCCCCTACTCTCATGAGTGATCACCTGTCCTCTGTCTTTCCCACTGGCCCCGTGGATGTCAATGCCAGGGCACCTCGGAAGCCTCTATTGAAGAAGAATGAGCTTCCACGACACGGTCCTGTAGCTCTGAATGAGGCCGTGGAGCACAGGACACCCCCACCCTCCACCCCGTCGACTGGACTTTATATGAGTGAGAAGCAAGCTTCTATTGCATTAAGCCATCTAGGACCGGGGGGTGGGGGGGTTGCTGGTTATGCGTTTCGCCTATTCTGAGTAGCATCAGTGAAGGGAAGGATGGGGGCTTCTGGGCTGGAGGGGGGCTTGGAGCGGCATTTTGGGTAGGGAGTGAGAACATTTGCTTCTGTATCAGTTCTTGTGGATCTAACCCTGCAAATTAGGGAGACCGAGTTTTTACTTGACAGAAATTCGTGACCACGTGAGCCCCACATTGGAGGCCGGGCCCTGCCCGGACCGCCATGGGATTCTTGTGCTGAGACAGAGTTTCCTGAGGGCTAAGAATAAACAGGAGACAGAGCAGGTCTGGCACGCGGGGCTGGTGCCGGGCAGCACTGGCTCGGGCTGGCAGAGCCTTCAGTCTGGAGCCTGGCAGAGGGTCAGTTGGTGGGGGTGCAGGGCTGAGCTCACCGGGCCCTGGCACCTGGTGGCTCAGCGCATCTGGGACATCAGTTCCCCCACATACCCATCCCAGGCGGGAGGAAGGGGGCTAAAAAGCCAGGGGTGAAAGTTCAGAGAGGCTGGGAACGGTTCCTGCAGCCACACGAGCGGGGACGTGGCCTCCCTTTGCTGGAACCAGGAAAGGCCTTCTGGACGCTCAGAGTTTGGTGCCTCCGGCTTCCAGGAGGAGCAGCAGACCCTGTGATGCTCAAGAGGAAAACTCGAGGTCTTGGGAATGTGTAGTTGGATGTACGTGTCCCCTGGACTGTAGCTCGGGCAGAAGTGGCGGAGGACACCAATCATCCCTCGTAATGCCTCCCAAGAGGGTAGAGGTGGCATCCAGCCAGTGCCCCCCGCGCAGGGGTGAACCTGCTGCATTACAGCAGGCATCCACTGTGGCCCGCGGGGGCCTGTCACAGTGTCAGCCCTGTCCTGCCCGGAGGGGCCACCCGGTCCCTCTCTCTGGCTCCTCCTGGCGGCTGGGGGCAGTGGCAGCCAGCTGCTGGGCCTGAGATCCGATGGCTTGGCTCCATTTGGCCTCTGGTTGGAGCCACGCTCTCTGGTCCAGCTTTACCAGTCATTTTGGTACTTGGCCTTTTTTACTTATTAATCATTTCAGAATTTGGAGGGGAAGGGAGGCTGACTTGTTAGAAACCCCGCCAGGCAGTTTAGGGCCTCTGAGCCTCTGGCTCTGCCTGGCTGCTTCCCGCCCAGCAGGTTCTGAAGGCAGGGCTGGCTTGCTCATCTGCCCAGGTGCCCGCGTCACACCAGGGGTGGCCTATCCAGCTTCCAGCCCATCTGTCAAAAGACACCTTGACGGTACCACTCAGCCGTCTGAAACCAGCTGGCGGTGCCAGGGAGGCGGCTGGTGACCTGGACGAAAGCCGGAGAAGCCCACCTTGGCCAGTACAGGGTCCACCCTCCCTCCTTCTTCTCCTGGAAGAAGTGTCCCCCAGAAGGGACACCATTTGCCCTAAGTGCCCACAACGCCTCAAAGGGAGCTCTACCCCTTCCCGCCCTACATCAAGAAGAGAACATTTTAAAAAGGTTTTTATTTAATTAAAAAAAAGACAGAACTAACAACCCCAAACCAGTAGTAGGTACAGGAATCACAGGTGCTTAACTGGCGAAACACACAGGGGCTGGTTGGGGAGGGTGGTGGGAAGGGAGGAGGTGGGCACAGGCCACTGCGTCCCCCTCCGCAGGGTCTCAGACTGACAGGTGGCAGGGAGCTAGCTCCGCCCACTTCCCCAGGCGTCCCTGGCTGAGGGGCGTGAGCAGGAGGGGCACACCAGGCAGGGGGTCCAGGAGCCTGGGGCGGGGTGGGGAGAAAGGCTATGAAGACCAGGGGCTCTGAGGTTGTTCTGTTCCCTGCTCTCCTGTCCTTCCTTGTTGCTTCTTTCTACGCTTTCTTGGTCCCTAGAGTGGGCCCCACATTCTCTGCCTGGGACTGGGCGAGAGGTAGGATTCATTGGAACAACAGCTTTCTCCATGAAATGATAGAAACTTCCAGGGCAGCAGGTGTGGAGGTGACTTATGTGGAAGAAACAGCACGGCTGCCTTGCTTTGGGAAGTGACAGAAGAGTCTGGGGACCTTGCTGGGTGATGGGTTCCCAGAGGTTGCCCCCTTTCCTTCGAGCCTGGTAAGATGGTGTCACAGGTAGGGGATTGGGGCGCCCAGGGCGGTCAGGGCAGGGGTGGGGGCGGGACGGGATGGGGTTGGACCCCAGCAGGGCAGGCCACGAGCCTGACGCTCCAGCACTCACTGCTGCACATGCTTGGACAAACCACCACACAAAGCCAACCTCAATGGGAGGAAGGGGTTTCGAGCAAGCGCAAAGGGTCCCCGGCACACCGCGCCTCAGCTGGCCGGCGTTCCCGGGCAGTCAGGTGAGGGGTCCCCGGAGCGATGTTCTCTCTGGGGGTGAAGGATGATGGTGATGACCATGACCCAGATCTCGACTCCTAGGGGCTGAGTCCGCCCAGGGGGGTCGGCGAGCAGGTGGCTGAGGTAAGAATTCACTTGTCACTTCTAAGGATGACAGCTACCGGGCCCACAGACGACCGCTCGAGATCGGATGACCAAGTCTCAAAAAGTAAGAAAGGATTTTGTCTTTAGAAAGCACGTGTTTTTTATAAAAGAGGGTGAGCTCCCTGTTCCGGAAAGTTTTTCTTCAGAACCCACATACGCTTCCGTGTTCTCCACTTGCATCGGGACGGGAAGAGAAGGTTGTGGTTGGAAGAAAACGTCCAGTGTGGAACCGAGGAGGCAGATGCTGAGATGTCCCTCTCGTGACGAGGAAGGAAAGCACAGCGTGGCCTTTTCATCCAAACTGCCCGACCTCCCTCGCCTGAGCCCTTCAGAGAGGTGGCAGGATAAATGACAATATTGGGTGTGGGGGAGGGGCTGCTGCTGCCGTCATTAAGACGAAGAACTGAGGGTAACTCGCTCCCCTGGCCTTTACTTGCGATCGTCATGATTAATAACCACTTAGGAAATGGATGTTTGTTCTGATGTGTTGGCCGCCGTTCACCCTCGGGTCTCCCTTTCTTGAACAGAAGTTCAGGCTCCTGTCACCCAACGCCGGTGGTGATGGAGGTCTGCCCCTTCTGCTCCCCGAGGAAGGACAGAGCTGCTCTGAGGAGGGTCAGTGTGGGGAGGGACACAGCAAGAGGCCATATGGACACTGTCCTTCAGACCCATGGAAACTTCCAGACTCTGGTCTCCTCAGGTTGAGGGAAGCCGGCCCCAGGATAGCACAAAGGCCAAAGCACCAGTTGGCCACAGGGCTTTCTCCTCAGGATCACTGTTATTTCAACAACTGGGCACTGCCAGAGAGAAAGAGAGAGAGAGAGATAGAGAGAGGGCAAGAAACAGACAGGAACGGGGCACGTTTCGGCTTCCTTGTTTCCTGCTCACAGACACAGCAGCTGACCAGTGTCCAAAGGTCCCCATGTGCCTGGTGAATCTCTCCCGGTGGCCCCTCAACCCAGGCAGGGAGGGAGGGAGGGCTCTGAAAGCCCATTCTTCTGGCAAGAATTATTTCCAAGAGGAGATAATGGCTCAATTTTGCTTTCCCAGGTTGGTTAAGGCCATGCAGCCTCCGGAGATTTCAGAATCCTGGGCCATCAGACGCCCCCTCGGGGGGATAAAGTCAGCCTTCAGCTTCCAATTCCCGTCCCCCCGAGCTTCACCCCAAGCCAGCCCACGACACTTTCTGGAGACGAGGGAGGGTTGGGTTTTGGCTTCAGTCCATTGTTGGTCCATCCTAAGGGTCAGATGCCCTCCTGTGGGATCGAGACCGCTGTTCTGGGGAGAGGCCGGTGCTGAGAGGGGGGGGGCTCACACAGGGGTGGTCCGCCGGTTCAGCATGGTGACGTGCAAGCCTTCCTTCAGCTCCTGCTGGAAGAAGTCGTGCAGCTGCAGGAAGCCAGGCTCCTGGTCGGGGCCGTAGCTGGCGGCGGTGGTCACCTTCAGGGGCTCCCTGGACAGCGTGTACATGGACAGCTCGCCCATGGGGATGGCCCCTGCGATCTTGAGGCCCACCGGAGACGCCGCCCTGGACGGAGAGGCCTCGGTGGACCTCGAGCTAGACCTTGAGCGTCGTCGCCGGTACCGATAGCTCGGCATCCTGGCGTAGGGAGACGAGGAGGGAGCCTTGAGGAACTCCCGTTTGGTCTTAAATCTCAACTCTTTGTTTTTCTCAATGTAAATGTTCACAGCCAGGACACCCACGGTCTCGGCCACAATGAAGGACAGGGCTCCAAAGTAAAATGACCAGCCGTAGTTGTAATGGTTTTTTTTGTCTTCGTCACGCTTGTCGCTTGGGTCGCCGGTGTTGCTGGAAATGTAGACGATGATGCCTATGATGTTACTGAGGCCTGAAAGAGAGGCAGGAGACGGGGTGGGAGGGAGGGAGGCAGACGTTAGACCCACAGCTGGACAAAGGACAGGACGGCGGAGGAGAGGCTGTGTCCACCCTCCCTTGGATAAGTATTGCTTTACTCTGGTTGCTAACTTTTCTCTTAAGTAACTGGTTTTGAATGGGTAACAAAGTAAAAGTTCAGATGAGGTGTCCAGTAAACCACGGGCACTTAGCTACCCAGTTCCCCCCCTGAGGGTGGTTACTATTATCTTCTTTCTTGTTTTATTTATTTTTTAATTTTTTAACGTTTTTATTTATTATTGAGAGACAGAGAGAGACAGAGCGTGAGCAGGGGAGGGACAGAGAGAGGGGGAGACACAGAATCCGAAGTAGGCTCCAGGTTCTGAGCTCTCAGCACAGAGCCCGATGCGGGGCTTCAGCTCACAAACCGTGAGATCATGACCTGAGCCAAAGTCAGAGGCTTAACTGACTGAGCCGCCCAGGCGCCCCTGTTCTTTCTTATATCATTGTGATATCTAGTCTCTCTCCCTCCTGCCCTCTCTATTGCTCTCTCTCTCTCTCTCTCTGTCTCTCTCTCATATATACACACACATCTCTTTTTCTCCTTGCACAATACTCTTTGTCCCTTTGCTTTTTCACTTAAGAGTCCACCTGGCAGACGGTTCTGTGTCAGGCCACAGAGAGCTGTCTTGTCTTTCTTGGTGCACAGAGCACCCGCTGCGTGGGCGTCTAACCAGGCCTCTGCTGTGGACGTCAGGTGGCTGCCAGCCCTCCGTTGGGACATGGTTGCCAGGGACCTCCTTGTGTCCACACCATTCCACACACGCACGAGTACAACTATGGGGGGTATCCACAGCCTCTAATTGATATCCAAGTGCTGGACCTTTGCTGGTCTGAGAGGTGAGACACAGCCACCTGCTGTCCTTACTTACTTTAATCTTATTTTAAGTGAGTCAGCAGAGCCAAGCTGCCTGGATTTGAATCCTGGTTCAGCCAGGGCCCTGGACACCGTAGCTGCTCCAGGGACCGAAAACATCTGCATGTGGCCTTGTATGGCTCCCTCTGGGGAGACGGGCCACGGCAGAGAGCACCTTTGGAGGCGGACAGCCGTGGGCACAGCCTGTGTTTTTGCCACCATATGGCTTCAGGGAAGCCACCTGGGCCACTTGGGCCACCTCCTCAAAATCTGGGATGAGGTGGCTGTGCTCACTGAGCCCTGGAACTGTGGCGGCAGTACGTGGTGGCTGGTGTCAGTGCAAATCTGGGGGCTCCAAGGAGGAGAGAGAATGGGGGGTGCTGCCTTCCTCCCACCTCTGGGCCTGAAGGGGACAAGAAAGAAAAGGAGGGGGACCTGGCCAAGAAGAGGCCCCGACACTCGGGCACTTCTTGCTAACACACACACATACATGCACACCGCACACCCTTGACACACATACAGCCCCTTCCGGGAAACACACACACACACACACACACAATCTATTGCTCTGGGAGGACACAAAAGTGGGAAGTGACGTAGAGGCAGGACCATAAGAATCTGGCTGACAGCTTTTGAACCAGTCCCTTCACTGCTTTGGTCCTGGAGTCACCCTCCGTCTCTGAGAGAGACCGCAAGGAGGGGACAAGACGGGGCGGGCGCGTGAGGCGACCCCCCCCCCCGCCCCGCCCAGCAGAGGACGCTTGACCACCAACCACCACCATGGTCCTGGGATGCTCGTTATCACCCTCACGGGACTGCTGGGCCATCGTAGGAGGCGGAGACCAGGCCGCCTAAGGGCCGCCCCGCCAGGCTGGGGTAAGACAAAAGGTGCTTAGAAAGCAAAAACACGGACAAGGCAGGGCAAGGAGCTTTGTTAACAACTGAGGAAAGGATTACTCAACTTGGTGACATATCTCGAAGTTACTTACTAGGACGTCAGGCATGTCCTGTTTTTCCTGACAGGGTCCCCTGTTGCAAGTTTATCGGAGACCCAGGCAGGAAAACCCGAGTTCTCTGCGGGACCATGTCTACGCAACCTGCCAGCACTGGTCCGCTGTGAGGCCCGCTTCCGGCCTGGACTCCCCGCACATTGGCAGTGGTGACACATGCACTGAAGCCTCTCCAGCGGGGCTCGGAGGAGGGACAGTGTCAAGTCACTCTGGACCAGTTAGGAGGGCCTGTGTCACTGTCACCCGGAGCTCTGTGGGTTCTCTCTGGGTCGCAGCGAGGGTGGCTCTGCGGTGCACCCTTCTCGGTTCTGCACCCCCTTCACCCTTCGCTCAGCTCCTTCAGGTCTTGGCTTCCTCTGAGTACGTCCTGCTCTCCCCCCCCCCCCCCCCCATGCAGCCAGGCTTATAAGGCACCGGCACTTTGCACACTTGGTCCTATTTATTTTCTTGGTTGGCATGCAATTCACATAGCACGAGCTAACCCTCCCAAGTGCACAATTCAGTGGCATTTAGAACATCTGCAGTGTTGTGCACCACCACCTCCATCTAGTTCCGGAACAGGTTCACCACCCCAGAGAGGAGCCCCTTGTGCCTGTTGAGCAGCCTCCCCCCACCCAGACGTTTGAAATCCATGAGGAACAATGACTTTGGGTCCGCTTCCCCGCCCCGGGCGCCCCGGGACGCGCACCCTGGGCGGGCGGAACAGACCGGGCGACTCACCTGCAGCCACGAAGAGGATGCCGGCACTCAGGACGATGTTGTTCTTGCGGCTGTAGAACCTCCCGGCGCCGATGCAGAGCCCGCCGAGCAGCAGCAGGATGGTGCTGAGGATGGGGAAGACGCTGGAGGCGCGCACGATGCCTGGGCCGGGAGGGAGACAGAGCAGGGGGCGCTGAGGGCGGCCGCCATCGGGCTTGGCAGCCAGCGGTGGCCAGGAGCCCTGAAGCCCGGGGCCCTCCTCCTCCTGACTTTGAAGGTTCCTTCCCAGAAGGCCCTGCAGACCACAGCGGGTCGGGAGCTGGCCCTGTGCCGGCAGCTTGACGGCACTCAAGCCACGGCTGGGGCCTGGAGTCACGTGTGCCCACAAGGCTCTCCCTGGGTGTGAACCCCACGTCTGCAGCCAGAAGGCAGGAGAGCCCCTCTCTCCATGGTATCGGGGAGTCACAACACCAGCCCTGAAAACGTTGGTCTGTCTTTCATTTAGACGCCGCCACCTCACCCTGAGCCTCTCACGGCTTCGGACTCTAAGGAATGTCTGGAAGGCTGGGAAGTGGTGTCCGTGAGAGGCAGCTCTAATGGGTGGTTGAGGACACAGCCCTTGGCCTCAGGTGGGTCTGGGTCTGCTCTGGGACAGGCTGGCTCTGTGGCTCGGGTCAAGTTGCTTCACCTAATGCTGAGCCTCCCCATTTGTGGAAAGCAGCTGGTAGTAGGGACCTCCCTCCTTCGGTTGGTTTTGTACGTGTAAGGGGCTCCCCACGGGGCCTGGCCATAGCATGCACTTCCTGAGCGACAGCCTTGATCTCCAGGGCCATCATTGCTATCATCGCGCCCCCTACCCCCTGGCCCGGGGTCAGATAAGGGCCTCCTGAGGTCACAGAGGAGGCAGTGGCTCAACACAGTGGGACGTGTGTGGACTCAATGTCCAGCCAAGCTGGATTTGCACACTCACTCTGCCGCTGACCAGAGCGGCTAACTTCTGACGTCAGGTCCCCTCTCTTTTTTTTTTTAAGAAGTTTTTGAATTTATTTTGAGAGAGAGAGAGAGAGTGAGAGAGTGAGCATGTGCTCATGAGCTGGGGAGAGGCAGAGAGAGAATCCTGAGCAGGCTCCGCGCTATCAGCACAGAGCTCGACATGGGGCTCACACTCAACCTGTGAGATCGCGACCTGAGCTGAAATCGTGTTGGCTGCTTACGTGACGGAGCCACCCAGGTGCCCCAAGTCTCCTGTTTCATAACCTGGGGAGATTAGTGATACCCATCCGTAGGGGCTGAATTGCAGCCCACTCCCCAGGAGATATGACCAAGTCCTAACCCCAGGAATCTCTGAATGAAACTTAATTTGGAAAAGAGGTGTTTTGCAGATATGACGACATTAAAGATCTCAAGAGGACACCATCCTACATCAGGGTAGGTCCTAAATCCAATGACAAGTGCCCTTGTGGGCAGAGGAAGAGACACGGGCAGGGGAGAAGCTGTGTGAAGACAGAGGCAGAGGCAGGAGGGATCCCTCACCCCTAATCCTAAACCCCACGTCAAGAAGTATGAGGAGCCGACAGGCGCTGCTGGAGACAAGGACTGATTCTCCCCCTGGCTCTGTGGAGGGAGCCTGGCCCTGCCAATGGCCCATTGAAGACTCAAGCGTCCACACCGCAAGAGAGTAACTTCACAGTACATTCCCGTGGTTTCAAGCCACCCAGTGTGAGGTGCTGTATCATGGCGGCCCTACGAAAAGAATACACTTTCTGCACTTGGGGCTTTGGGGATGTGGATCCCCCTTCCTTCACATCTGGCTGGAAGGGCCAGGAGGAAGGGAAGTGGGGCATCAGGAGGAGCCCTGAGCTCAGCCTTCCTGATGCGCCTGCAGGTCCCCCAGCCCAGTGGAAATCCTGGCACCATGGACCCTTGGTGGCCCCGGCAGGGGACAGAGTCGGGGAGCCCTGGCAGGCACCGACTCCTGAGCCAGCTGAGCCAGTTTGTGGCCTTTCAGCCTCTGAAGGCAGCGTTTGTCTCCTTTCTTGTAAGCTCCCCAGTGTGCCCCACTTCACAGAGGGGGCTTTGTTGGGGATATTAAATAAAGCTCTTCTCTCCAGCACCCCCTCCTCCCCGCTCTGCCTTCTTACAGCCGCAGGCTCCGGGAGGAGGTTTCCCGTGGACTTTGGAAACGTGCCTCGGACACACACTGGCCAGAAGACTGGGGCTCAGCTCCCCCTGGCTGCCCTCGTTCTGCAGGCGGGTCAGAGGGGCTGGGGAGAAGGGGGCCCAGGGCCTCTAAGGTCGCTGAGGTCAGACCCGGCTCAGAGCCACCCATCCTGCCCAGGTAAGTATGAGTGTGCCTCTCCTTCGCCACGCAGGCTCCTCCCAGAGCTCCGGGTGTGCACAAGCCAGCTGGGGTTGCCGTAGACAGTGGTGCAGGCCGGGTCTTGTGCCGACCCGAGGGACGAGCAAGGCTGAGGCCCGGGCCATGCCTCAAGGCCAGATCAAGCCCTGGAGAGAAGCTGTGTCTTGTCTGGATGGGTACCTCCTTCTCACTCACCCGCAGGCACACGGGGCCCTCCCTGCAGCCCTGACGTCCCTACCGCGGGGCTCGGCACAGAAATCGACTACTTGATGGGAAATGCGGAACCCGGAAAGGGGACCCCAGGAACCAGGGTCGGATGGATTGGAACCCCGGGGGCCAGAAGGGCCAGTGGAAAAGACATGGCAGAGTGTGTGTCGGGGCGGAGGTGTGACCCCTCAGACCTCACACCTGCCCGTGGATCGACCAACCAGTGGGGGCTCTGCCAGAGCCCCAGGGTGGGGAGCAAGCGCCCCTGACAGTGATGTAACTCAAGGCACAAGCCTGGTTTCTCTGGAAGACTTCAGAATGCATGGTCGGGAGGTTGACCTTGTTCTTTTTTTTTTTCTTCCTCAGTTTTTTTTTTAATTTATTTTTTATTTATTTCTAGGAGAGAGAGAGAGACAGCATGAGCAGGGGAGGGTCAGAGAGAGAGGGAGACACAGACTCTGAAACAGGCTCCAGGCTCTGAGCTGGCAGTCAGCACAGAGCCCGACATGGGGCTCAAACCCACGAACTGCGAGATCATGACCTAAGCGAAAGTTGGACGCTTAACCCACTAAGCCACCCAGGCGCCCCGACCTTGTTCTTGAATTGTTGAAGATAGGGTGTGAGAAGCACAGCCTTGGACCTGTCAGGGTTGATAGCCCACGCCCGGATGGCTAAGCTGCCACTCCCACAGGCAAACACCATGGAACTTTCCGTGACCTTCTCTGACCTCCCTGTTCTCCACTGAAACGTCGGCTCCGGGGCGGCGGAGCTCCGTCTCACTGCAGCGCCGCACATGCTTATTACAGTGTCTGGCATGTAGTAGGCCAGTCATGACTTTTTGTTAAATGGGTGAATAAATGAACCCTTAGGACCCCGTATCTCTCTCTCCTGTGCTTGTGCATATTCTGGGGATCACACTTCTCTGGGGACCAGTGGCCCAAATACTGGGAATCAGGGGGAAGGCAATGGTGACCGCGAGCTTGGCCTGTCTCAGGACGTTGCCTGCTCCCACTGGCTGAAGCTCATGGGTACCTGCACGCCGAGTCTCACGTTGGGGCCAGCTCCCTGTTTCGGGCAAGCCCCTGAGTGGAAACACTCCCCTTGCTGGAGAGCTAGCTCTGCCCTCCACCCCAGTTCAGTCAGCAGCTGGAGCTACCGGCCCAAAGCCATCATCCCTCCTCTTCCTGGGTCACCCCTCCTCTTCCTGGGGCATCTCTGGGCTTGTGAATGACCCCCCCGGCCCCGCCCACAGAGCGCACTTGAGGAGGGCGCTCCCGTCCCAAATGAGCTTTAGTCTGTGCTGTCCCCATCAATTTGGGAAAATCGCTGCTGGGCCCCTCCCCGCCCTCACGCCCCCCAATCTCAGGCACCACAGGTGGGATCTGAGGGCGGTGGGAGCCCGAAGCCAGAGGGGAGAGTGTGCTGCACATCCCTGATTCTGCATCCTGCCCTGGGCCCCGGGAGGCACGTCCACGCAGGGGATCCCTGGGCCCCCTTGCCTCTGGCTCTGGGGGGAGCGCACGGGGGAGCGCCCAGGGGAGCGTGGCTCCCTGAGCCTCCTTCCTGCAGGCTGCGGTGAGTGGCTGCCTCCCTCCTACAAGCCCCAGCTTCTGCCAGGCAGGCCTGTTCTCACGGCTTCCCTTCTCCAGGCTCCCAAGCCTGCCCTCCTCACCTGCTCAGGCCCAAGAGTGCAGGGGGGAGGGGGGGGGCGCCCTGTGGCTGGCAGCCCTGCCGCTGTCTCCACCCCCTGCACAGTGTCCTTAACCCTGACTTCACTTTGTAAATAGTGCTTCACTAAACACCCTCCCTTCACCGCGTCTGAGCATGCCGTCTGCTTCCTGCTGGACCCTCAGAAAGCTGCATCGTCTGACCTCTGGGCTGATGGTCATGAGCCACCCCAGCTGGGCTGAGCGCCAGGGTCGCCCCAGATGGCTGTGCAGGCTGTGCACTGTACAACCCAAAGAGTGTCATTTATACCGTAGTCTAGATGAGCGGCCTTCTTTGAGCAGTGCATAAGCCGCATAGCCATTTGTGGCAGCTCTCGGGAATATCATTTGCTTGCCTCTGTGTTGGCCCCCAGGAAGCAGAAAGAAAGGACAGGCAGGAGGAAGAGGAGATGAGGGAGGAGGGTTGGAAGGCAGATCTGGCCAAATGTTTTCAGGTTCCGGGTCTGGCCAGAGCCTCCTGACACCTCCCCGGTGCACTGCTGTACCGTTTCACCAGATGACTCACAACCCAAATCCTTTCTCTTAGAAGAAAATGATCCACAAGCAGGTGCAGAGTGAACTGTACTTCTCTGAGGACGCTGCTATCGATTCTCCATAAATGAAGCCGGGCCGAGCCCCCCAGGGTGATGCCGTGAGCAGCTGCGTGTGTGTGTGTTTTGGCTCATGGGGAAGGGGGAGTGGCCTCAAACGGTGCTGTGCTTCCATTTCCGGGCACCTTCTCTGGCTGCAGCCCCAGCCTTCTTCCTGGGCGGTATTCATAGGCCCAGGGATGAGATCCGGATTTCGGGTGTCGGACGGGTTTGTCCTCGCCCAGTATATGCTGTGACCTCCAGTCTGGGGGTCACCCAAACCACAGGACAGGAACAGACGCGGTGGCTCCCCATCAGGCAGTCTGATTTTTCAAGAACAGAATGCTGGGGACGTGCGGGGTGTGTGTGGCAGGTCCAGGGCCTGGAGGGCAATGTGCTTGGGGTGTCACGGCCCCCTAGGGATGCTTGGCTCGGACAAGCCTACGTCATTAACCTCCTTGCCCCGGGCCCAATGGCAGCGATCGGCAACTCTGCAACTAGCCATGACCAGCAGACCTGGCAAGCAGAATGCCCACACCATCATCTGCACCAGCTTGGCCTCAGTCTCCCCGGGCACGAGCCTGTCCCCCAAGTAACCCCACTGGGGTCCCCAGCATGTCAGGGCAGCGTTGCACATAAGTCTGTCCTCCAAACTGACACTTCTGAATCAGGAAGGGACAGAAAGAGCATCCAAGGAACAGCACCCCTTCACCCCTACAGAGCCTGTCTTTCCTCCATCTGCCCCCCCTCCCCCCGCCTTCCACACAGACAGCGAAAGCGAATGATGCTTGGCACTTACGAAGGAGATACTCCGAGCTGTCATGGTCGTAATCATTGTCCTCTGGGAAGTGATTGATCCGGAAGCAGCGGCCTTTATAGATCCCTGGGGAGAACGGGAGAAAAAGAACATTGTAAGCGTTCCGTGTGCTCACACACCCACTGACTCCAGACCCATGTGCTGCGTGTGCGCCAGGTTCTGGGCAGGCCCTGGGCACGGAGAGAGGAGAAATCTCCATCCCGGCATCCCTGGTCTGATGTGGGGATGGGCACACACAGAGGAGCACCAAAGGAGGCAGGAAGGCCCTAGAAGTGACCATGGTCCCCGTCTGGACGTCTGTAAGCGTGAAAAGCACACCATCGGTCACCAGCCAGGGACAAGAGGTGTCAAGCAAGACATGCGATCCCCTGTCCAAGGCGACTGTAGAGCCATCTTAAAAAATGACAAAGAATTTGCCCCTGAGAACAGGTGGAGGGGACTTCTGGGGGGAGGAGGAAGTCGAGGAAAGGCAGGGCTGGGGTCAGAGCCTGGGGAGCGGCAGGAAGTTTGGTGGCTGGACTCAGAAGGCCCCACGCAGGGAGTGGGGGGCGGGGCTGGGCCCCGTGTGCGGCAGGTAGGGGTCTGGTCAGGGGAGCTGGGATGAAATCTGCCCCCGTGGTGTCTGTGTGTCCTTCCTCTCTCTTAAACACAGTTGTAAATCCCCCCTGAGGTATGCACCGAATCTGCACAGTTGGCAACATGATTCTGATCCCCTCACTCGATCGAGGTGATGGAGGGAAGAGAACGTGCAGCCAGAGAAACTTCCAGAAAGGCCAGGACCACCCCCTGCCCTTTTCTGAGATGTAGCCTCCACAGAGTGGGAGGCAGGACATCCTGGGTAATTTCTTAATCGCAGGGGAGAAGCCGGTCATCGCTTCTAGAAGCTTCTAGAAGCCTGCTCCCCTGGCATCTGCTCCCCTGTAGTCTGGAAGCGTCCGGCACAGAAGCGGGCACGGGCAGGGAGCGAGGCACACGGGGAGTCAGGTCCTGCCCCGCCAGCCACCCCCTCATGCCCGACCCAGCCTTTCCTCTTCAGCAAGGAGTGCATCCTGACACGCCGCGTGGCTGGGGTTAGGGCTGTTTCCACCAGGGGCCATTTCTTGTTCTGCAGCTGCCGCCCGGTGTCCTGCTGGCCTCCCCCAGCCCAGCCTCACCTCTCGGTTGGAAGCAAAATGTCAGAAGCGGGGCCTGCACCATACTGGCATCCGTCTCCCCACTTCCGACTGAGAGAGCTCAGGGCACACGGCTCTCCTGCCTGTCGGCCGATTAGCTAGCCTGCCAGCTGCCTCCCCAGACCTTCCCCTCCGTCGGTTCCCTTAGCTGCCTCCTCCAGAAAGCCAGGGTGCTGGGGGAAGACCCCTGCCTCCTGAAGGCCCACCGGCCCTGACACCACTGGTGGGTGGGCCAGGTTTGGTCAGGGAACGGTGAGAGGCAGACTGTGGGTCTCAGCGGAGATGCCCCCAGTGGGATGTGCTTCGACGGTGTTCTCCTTGCCAGGCCAAGCAAGAACAACCTCATCTCCTCATCTGGAAAATGGGCACAACCACAATCCCTTTATCTCCTGGGGATCTTAGAATCGCAAGAGGCAACACCTGAAAGGCACTAGATGATTCTTGGCCTCTGATGACGGCTCAGGGACGCTTCGCTGGCTGGCGCTGGACCCAGAAATCACCTACCCTCTGCTCCCTCCCCTGTGGGTCTTTCGTCTTCCCTGAGTGCCTGGGGGTGGTGGGGAGTCATGAGAGGTTGGGAGTGACAGGAAACAGCACGAGGGTGCACTGGTGGTGTCGGCGGGGGAGCGGGGGCCGGAAAGCAGGAGACACGGAAGGCAGAGTGGGCCAGCCACGCTCTGCCTTCGCTCCTGGCTCCCACACCCCAGATTCAAGACGTCTGTGGAATTCCAGAGCAAGGGTTTTCCAGACGTGGGTGAGGGCCAGGCGGAGCTCTTGACTGGTCCTCCCTCTCCCCACAGTGTTTTGGGGCCACCTTACGGGTCTAAACAAAACTACCAAGTCACACACATGCTTGTTGGAACAAGTCAAATAGTTAGGGGCTGACATGAAAAATAAATAATCTCTCTTCAGACTCATTTTCCAGAGGCCAACCAGCCTGCTGTGTATCTTCCCACATCTCCCTGTGCACACCTACACAGGTACATGTATGTGAGCCCCCCCTTTCCTAAGTTTACTTATTTTGAGAGAGAGAGAGAAAGAGAGAGAGAATCCCAAGCAGGCTTGTCAGTGCAGAGCCGGACGCAGGGCTCATACTCACAAACTGTGAGATCACGACCTGAGCCGAAACCGAGTGGGATGCTTAACCGGCTGAGCCACCCAGGTGTCTCCCTCATTTTTTTGTTTAAAAATTTTTTTTGTTTTTTTTTTTTATGTTTATTTTTGAGGGGGGAGGAGGGCAGAGACACAGAATCTGAAGCAGGCTCTAGGCTCTGGGCTGTCAGCACAGTGCCTGACGCAGGGATGGAACTCACAGACCACGAGATCATGACCTGAGCCAAAGTCAGACGCTCAACCGACTGAGCCACCCAGGTGCCCCTCCCTCATGTTTTTAAGTAAACTTTTTACTTGGAGATAATGGTAGACGTAGGGCAGTTCTAAGAAGGAATTCATGAACCCTCTACCCAGTTTCCCTCAATGGTTACATGTAGCAAAATCATACTATCCTAACTAACCAGGATGCTGACGTTGCTACTGTCAAGTTAAAGAACACTTCTACCACCTGGAAGGTCCCTCGTGTTGCTCACACCCACCTTCCTGCTGCCCCCTGGTCCATCCCTGACCCACGGCAACCGCTAAGGTGTTCTCCATTTGTACAGGGCCGTCACTGCAAGAATGTTCTTTCCATAAATGGAATCGTAGAGCATATAACCTTTGGGATTGACTCTTTTCACCTAGCATTATTCTCCCCAGATTCATCCAGGTTATTATGTGTATAAACAGTTTGTTTCTTTTCTTTCTTTCTTTTTTCTTTCTCTTTTATTTATTTTTGATAGCGATAGAGAGAGCAAGCAGGGGAGGGGCATTGAAAGAGGGAGACAGAATCTCAAGCAGGCTCTGCACTGCGATGTGGGGCTCCAGCTCCTGAACGGTGAGATCATGACCTGAGACGAAATCGAGAGTCAGATGCTTAACCGACTGAGCCACCCAGGCGCCCCCACAGTTTGTTTCATTTTATTGAACAGCAATATTCCACGGCATGAATGTACCACGGTTGGTGACATCTGATTGTTCCCAGTGATTACACCTCTGATGTCCAGATATTTCTAATAATGTTGCTATGAACATTCACGAAAAGTTCTGGGGTGAACCTAAGTTTTCATTTCTCTGGGATAAATGCCCAGGAGTACAACTGCTGAGGTTGGTTTTATAACGGACTGATAAATGGATTTCAAGGATGGCTATATCCCTATTTTTTTTTTAAACAGAATTATTCACCACACTTCACTCCACAACTTACTTTTTTCATTTAGCAATATGTACAAACATCTTTCCAGACCAGAACCTATAGATTTGACTTAAAACAAAACTTTTGCCTATTAAAAATATTTTTTAATGTTTATTTATTTTTATTATTTTTTTATTTCTTTATTTCTAGGAGAGAGAGAAAGACAGCATGAGCAGGGGAGGGTCAGAGAGAGAGGGAGTCACAGACTGAAACTGGCTCCAGGCTCTGAGCTGGCAGTCAGCACAGAGCCCGACGTGGGGCTCGAACCCACGAACCGCGAGATCATGACCTAAGCGAAAGTCGGACGCTTAACCAACTAAGCCACCCAGTGCCCCTTAATGTTTATTAATGAGAGAGCACAAGCAGGGGTGGGGCCGAGATAGAGAGGGAGACACAGAATCCAAAGCAGGCTCCAGGCTCTGAGCTGTCAGCACAGAGCCAGATGTGGGGCTCGAACTCACCAACTGTGAGACCATGACCTGAGCTGAGGTCGGACACTTAACCGACTGAGCCAACCAGGTGCCCCAACTTTTGTCTGTTTTTAATAAAAAACAATAGGTTGATACTAATCCAACAGTGGCTGAAAATCCTAGAGAGAAATAGCATAGAGTCTGGGGGCGAAAACTTGCTCCGACACTGATAATGTGAGAGAGAAAGATGCTTCTGCAGAAATGAGGCAAGAAATATATTTCTATATTCCATCGGAAAGCAAAACTCAGGGTTTGAACTGTCGGCTTGCATACAGACACCTTTGTTCCAGATGCCCCTTCAACATATTTTGCTAAACGCACACTCTACATTTTATGAGGGATATTTTATATTTGATAGAAATTGTAAGTAGAACTGTGTATTGCCTGTTATTTAAAACACATTCTTTTTAGTTGCTGCCTAGCCATCCAGAGTTATGGAGTATCCATTCAGCTCTACCGTAGAATCATGCACTGTAGACCCCGCTGCATACAACTGTGCTCGGAGATACATTGAATACATGCCTGTAGGGCTGCTCACTCTTCCTCTAATGGATTCCTTCCCCTTCCTTTCCTCTCTCCTCCCCTCCTTCCACACCTAGCTCTTATGCACAGGCTGAAGGAAGGGGCATCACTGTGGGTTGAATTATCCCCCCCCCCCCCCAGGAAGGATGTGTTGAAGTACTATGAAGTTACAGAGGCTCTAAGATGCTCACACGGGGTTGTGCTGTGCGGGAGAGAGTGCAAGGGGCCTCATTCACTCATCTGGCAGAGCGCAGCCTTCCAGGAAGGTGACAGTACCCTCCTCACAGCTCTGTTCCATCTGCCTGCTCCTCAGTCAGCTCTGGGAGCCATGGGCAAAGGCGAGCAAGTCACGGTTACTAGGGCAAGGAGTTGTCTCGTGTGCAGCAGTGAAACACACACAGTCTCACAGGCTCAGGCTTCCAAAGCAACTTTGCTGGTCATCTGGTGCATGGTCCCCTTTGGGGCCCCGAATCCTCTTCCCGGTATCTCTCATTTTGGTGGCTGCCAGCCACAGGGACCTCACTACCTCCCAAGGCATTCCTTTAAAAAAATTGTTTTTAAGACATTTATTCCTTTTTGAGAGACAGAGACAGAGGCAGAGTATGAGCAGGGAAG